CAGCAAGGAAGGACCAGGCAACAAGCCACCGTAAGACGTGTCCCTCATATCCTATCCAGGCTACCCACCATTAGGGCAGTTAGCACTCATATCCAGGATAGGGCTGCTGTAATCCTAGCATTGCATCACATCCTCGATCCCAGCAGTACGTACTCTAGATCCAGCCACCTCCCAAAAGGCCCCACCCATGACAACACGAGACTTTGGGGGGATATCTTATTTATTTTTCCTCGTTGAGTTTATTGGTCCATTTTAGGTATACAGTACAACTACATTCATCATTAGGATCTTCTACCTTTACACGATAGGTCTTGGTTCTCATTTTTTCCCCATACCCCTGCCCTCCCTTCACTCCCCTCCTCCCCTCCGTATTTATAAAATCTTTTTTCCATTTTTTCATTTTCTCATATTGGGGGGATATCTGGATACAAGCCATAGCACCACATTTAAGAAAATTTCTTATAATTTCAAGTAATGCTCTTCCAAAATGCTCTTTCAGTTCTCAGGTATTTAAATACTCCTGATACAAGGATCCAGCAATTCCACACCTAGACATTTTTGCAGAGAAATAATATATATTCACATAAACATTTGTTCATGAATCTTCACAGCACTAGTATTCATAACAGCCAAAGTGTGGAAACAAATATCCAGCAACTGATGAAAACATAAAATGTTACATTATCTATACAATGAAATAGCAAAAAAGTAGAGGTACCCATCTGTGCTGCAATGTATGTGAACCTTGAAAAACTTTTGCTAATGTAAAACCCAGAAATAATGGCCGTAGATTGTATGATTATAGTCTTAGGAAATGTGCTGCATAGGAAAAAGCTATTGAAACAAAAGTAAATTCATGACTTTCTGGGGCTAGATTAGAGGTTGGTGGTCAGGGAGAGTAGAAAAGGAAGTGACTGCTATTGGATCTGAATTTCTTTTAGGGGAGTTAAAAGTGTTTATAAATTGTGATGATGTTTCCAAAACTCTTGAATATATTAAAAACCACCAAATTCTATGGGTGAATTTTATGATACTTGAAATCTCATTAAAGCTATACAAAATTCCAAAATGCAACATATTAATTTTTATATTATCTTGCAGGTACCAGAGTGACAATCTTAAGTATTTATGTTTTGACATGTCTTTGCAGAATTTACTGCAACACGTGGAAAGAGTCATGGACTGACTGTGTGCCCTGGCTCTGCTGCTGATTAGCCTGATGTAGCTACATGACCATTAGGCAGTTCCTTATCCTTGGATCTTGAGTTCCTCTGTGACCTAGGGAAGCTGGCTTAGGAAAGCTCTGTGGTCTCTTCCAGTTCCGAGTTTATGTGTCTATATAGCGAGATGGAAATGTTGAGGCAGTTTTAGAGACAAGTTTTTGTCCCTTACAACTCTAATATAACAAATGACAGTAGGGTTTTCAGAGGCTACCTGCCTGTCAGATTCAGGGGTGTCTTAGATAACTAATGTGTAGAGCAGAGTTTCCCAACCTTGCCGTTATTGATATGATAAGCCTGTGCTTCGGTGGCTGTCCCACGCATTTAGGGTGTTTAGCAGCATCTCGGACATCTACCTACTAGATACCAGTAGTGTTTCCCTTTGAGTTCTTGTAGTCAAAATATCTCTACACTTTGCTTTTTCCCTGGAGAACACAACTTCGTAGGTGAAAACCTTTAGTGTGGAAGATGCTGAAATAATATTGTATAATTAAATAACTAAAAAGATGTGCTCTCTACCTTTGAAGAACTAGTAATTTAAAATAGATACCAAAAAATATATATCATTGAGAAATCTTATTTTTTAGGTGTAGTGGTACCTTGGTTCATGATCACTTTTGTTTGTGAACAGTTTGGTTCACAAACAGGAGCAACTGGCAAAATTTTTTTTTCTTTGCGAACTCTGCATTGGGTGATAAACATGACCAATGCCGTCTTTCTGCGTGAACATGAACATGGCTGTCTTTTCCAGAATCGTGCAAAACAAATTAAGTTTGTGAACTGAGGTACATGTAATAAAAAAAAAGGAAGGATTCTTACTTTGTTTTGCTGATGTTTACAGTGTTTATCGAAGTTAAATGCTACTTATAGGGATGAAAGATGGGCAGAAAAAGAACAGACTACAAGCTATCAGCTCCTCTTTGGAATGAGACAGGATATATACATATACTTTGAAAAATTTTTAAAGGAAAATTTAGGAATTGAGAACAAGAGAACTAGGAGATGCCTAAATATCTTGGTTCTTTTTAAGTAAGATGTCATCCACATGTGTCCTTGTATCTTCCATTCAAAGCTCAAATCTATGAATTAGATGATAGATTCTCTAGAAAAGAAAAAAAGCTCTAAACTGAAATATAGGTGTAATCATTACTCTCCCAAGTTTACTAAAGTTGTTTCTGATGGAACTGCAATAGAGTTCTAGACCTCACTTTTCTTTTGTATCACTTGTACTACAGTCTCTGATGTGCTTGCTCTCTGTGCAAGCCAAAAATTTGCATAATTTTATTGGACTACCATATTTAATAAATGCCAAGTGAAGTATTTAAAATAATGTTTCTAAAGACATAAATTATTCATATTTCTGGAAACCTTTCTGATTGAGGTAAAGTAGGGGATTAGAAGCTATCTGAAAGAGAAAGTTTCTATAATGGGTACAAGGAATACACTACTTCAAAGTATACATAAAATTGGAGCTGTTACTTGTGAGTGTCTTTAACCTATATTTCCAGTAAGGTGTAGTAATTAATCTTCATTACTTTTCTAGACTAAATTGATACATAGTAAATTATTGTCTATTTTAGAGACTAGCAATACTTGTTTCTAATAAGTTGTACAATACTCTATTCCTTCTCATCTGAATATGGTGATCTTGCTCTAGAATACTTTGATGCACTTGTCACAATGCTCTTTACTCTGAGTGTTTATAACTTTTTTTTTTTTTAAACTGGGGATCGAACTCGGGACCTTATGCTTGAGAGGCAGGCTGCAGAACCACTGAGCTAAATCCCCAGCCCCTATAACTGGCCATTTTTATGCAGAACTGAAAATGAGATGCTTTTGATTCATTATTGAAAGGATTTTCAAGTCTGTGTCAAGATGATTAATTCATATGGTTTGTCTTTAGTTGATTATATTAACAGTATGGGGTGTCTTAGTAAGAGGGTACATAAAATGAAAACGTTGCACTCTAAAGCCTTAGATTACTGTCCTTGAAAAATAATCATAGTAAAGCTGAGGTTACTTCAGAAATACTCTGTTTTATTCATATCTTAGAGTGAACCCATGATAGGCCAGGGAACACAGAATTGCCTTTTTAATGGAACAAACTAGAAAAGTCCAGGAAAGAATAGCCTTAAAATTCTCCAGAAAGCTTTCTGTCAAGGTAACATTGCTCTTTAAACCTGGACTGTTAAAAACTTAGAGCTGCTGGGACAATGACGATACCAAGACACTATGAGCAGTTTTTCCCTTGCTTGCGTGTGCTTGGTTCTGTGGCTCCACATAGCACTGAGATGGTTTTGTCTACTTCTGACATGCTGGGAAGCTGCAAGGAAAAACTACTACTCTTACCCTGGTGAAATCATTGCACTTACAATTTAAGATGGCTGCAGTCATGTCAAACTAAAATGGGCAAGTTAAGCAGTTGCCAGAATAAATAAGGACATGTACAGAAGCGTAATGGAGACTTGTGGAGAAGTAAGTAATCGAATCAGAAGCAGAAATAACAAAAGAATTAAAAACAAACAGTTGAAGGATGATGGCGCTATAGCAGGAGTCAGTAAGCATAGAAATACAGTTGTGTGGAAGCCAGTAATCAGTTCTAGGTCTCATCAAACTAAGATTCAACCTTTTCACACATACAAGACTGAAAAGTTTGCTTAGAAAAAGTATTTTGACCTATGAATGTCTATGCCATGCTTTATCAGTTATTTGTTCACTGCTGTTTTATGGCCAACTGTGGAAGATCCTTGAATATTAGGAGGAAAGTACAGTAGCTTGTGATCTGTACTGCAAGTAGGGAGCTTCAGAAACTCAAGAGCCTGACCTCAGTTCAGCCTGGCTTTGAAACCAGGTAGCACAACACAGCCCATAGTGGTGAGTACCCTGTGCTCTGAGGCCAAATTTTCCTGATATAAATTCTAGCTTCATTATATAAATTGATTAATAATCTTGGGGAAGTTACTTGATCTTTGTAAGCATCTAAACTTTCAAATTAGAATAATGATTTTTAATTAAAACAATATTCTCCTAATCAAAACTCTTGAATGGCTTTCCATCCCATGGAGAATAAAATCTGTATACTTGTTGAGGTTGTCAGGTCCCTTCATAAGCTGGCCCTTACTTATCACCTAAATAATCTTTTGAGTTTGTTTATCTGTCTCTCCCTGTCTTCTCTGATACTAGCACCAGACACTCGCTTATTCAATTGCTCTGTGTATAAAACTGAGAACAGTGCCTGTCACAAGTGCTCAATATCTGTTTGATTTTGTGAATGAGTAAATGCCTAATACAGTCTGTAAAACACACAGTGCAAGGCCTGCTGAGTCTTACATCCACCAAAATTATTTGCTGCTGCTTGTTACCAGTTACCTGCTTCACATCTTACAGCTGTGTATGATTATATGTGTGGAAAAAATATGCTACCAAAATATAAATTTAAAATTAATGTATTACTAAGGGAGATACAATCGCGTTTTAGACATAATCTCAGATCTAGATTATTAGTGATAAAGTAAAACTTTAGAATGCTTAATTCTTTTTTGGTTTATATCAGATCTTTTGTCCACAACTGCACAACAAACAGGGCCAAAAGCAAAGGAATATTAGGCTATACTTTTTATCTCTTAGACTAGATCACCTTTTGAAGAGCAAGGGAGAAGTAAATTTGAATCACCTAAAGTGAGATTGATTTCTCTCCATGAAAAAAAAAATAGTGATTAAAAAATATGGTGAATGGCAAGAATGCTAATATTCTATATTTTATACTCATTTCTGTTCCAGGTGTTGCCACGTCTTCAAACTTCCTGGGAGAGTAATGGGGATTCGAGTGCTTCGTTTCTCTCTGGTGGTCATCCTTGTGCTACTACTTGTAGCTGGGGCTTTGACCAGTTTACTTCCCAATATCAAAGAAGACAAGATGCTTACTTTGCGTAGGGAAATAAAATCCCAGGGAAAGTCTGCTTTGGATTCTTTTACTCTTATCATGCAGACATACAATAGAACAGATCTCTTACTGAGACTTTTAAATCATTATCAGGCAGTACCACATCTGCACAAAGTGATTGTGGTGTGGAACAATGTCGGGGAGAAGGGACCAGATGAGTTATGGAATTCTCTAGGGCCTCACCCTGTCCCTGTGATCTTCAAACAACAAATAGCAAACAGAATGAGAAATCGTCTCCAGGTCTTCCCTGAACTTGAAACCAATGGTGAGTTGAACATGGGTTCTGGGACTCTAAGGGCTGTGGCTCATCAGAACTGGGAGTAATGTGTGGGTTTTCAACTGTCTGCTTGTCCTCACTGTTGGAAATATTGGAAAGATAGGGGAAAGTTAATCTTAAGAACACACTTTGAAAAGCTTAAGGAACAATTTCTAAGATCTCAGTCAGTTTATTGGTGAGGAAATGGCATGAATCTTATAATAACGAAGATGCTGACATTGCAAAAAGAAGGAAGAAGTGCTGTAATTATTGTATTATTGTATTATAGAGAACAGTAATGAATCATTTAGCTTAATTTCTTTTGTCACTTCTCATTTCTAAGTTTCTTGAGGTTGTAATTTGTTTAAAAGTTTGTTTTCTAGTAGACAAATCTTTCCAATAAACTTTTTTTGTAGTTCAGGCTGGCTCTGAACTCACTTCCTTCGGCTTCAGCCCCCTGAGTACTGGATTACAGGAGTGTGCCACCATGCCCAGCTTCTAATGCATCTCTTAATTTACTAATTAACTAGAAACTTTATTTGCAATCTCTATAGACACAACTGTACCTTAACTACTTTTCCTTTCAAACTGTTGAATATGAATTTTTTTTTTCATTTCCTTTCAGCGGTATTAATGGTAGATGATGACACCCTCATTAGTGCCCAGGACCTTGTTTTTGCTTTCTCAGTTTGGCAGGTAATATTGCTATATCCTTTATGAAACCACCTGAATGGAGTTTTATCTAGTGCTTAACCAGGCCAACATGGTTTAAACGAGAAGTTATTCAAAACATTGTACTTATTTATGTAAAAGGTAGATAAAATTTGTGTAGACTAGTCAAGATTTCCTGAGCTTAGTTAAACCAACCTCAAAGTTATAATATTTTTATCTATAATTAATATTTTAATATATTGGGAAGGAGAACTGGAATTACCTTCTAGAGAACAATGAAAACATAATCTGGTGAACTAAAAGCTAGAATGCAGGGTAGTATTTTCACAGTCCACAGATAGATGTCTCTGATGAATATGTATTTCTGTATTACTGTTGGGTATAACTTTTTGTAAAAGAAAGTATCTATTGTCTCCTCAAAATGTAATCCTAGTTCTAAGACTGTGGTTTATCTGCAGTAATATTCTGCATGTACGACTGTGGTGGTAGGCAGGTTTCCTTTTGTTTGTTTTTCCCTGAATCCTAGCTTGGATAAATAGACTTTATTGCTCAGTAGCTTTCCTATTGGATATGTATTAATAATACCCGACTTTCAAAAATTGCAACACAATTACTTGAAACAAGAATTGCAAATACTCTGAAACCCTGTGAAATGATTAGACACCGTGCTACTCAATAAATGATCTAATCTGCACTGTAATAACTTCTTCATTAACTACTCGGGATGTAACAACATTAGGTATTTATGGTAAGTGTTCACAGCAGTTTTTCTAGCCCTGTGAATTAAGGCTTCTCTGGCAGAAGGTTCTAATAAAATATGCTTTAGCTGTGAGATTTCTATGAAAGGTTAAAAAGATGAGTTTGCTCAAAACGTAAAGACGGTAGAAGGAAGAATACAAGGACTATGGCTAATTAGAACAATTCTAGTAAACCATAATTAAAGAGATATAAATTTGATATGAGGCTTTATTCATCAGATTATCAAGAACAGTTTCAATGTATTGCTCAAGATAATCTGGCTCCTCATGGTGAATCCGAGCTATGCCCTGCATATATAATGACTGGAGGGATGCAGGGAGCAAGATCAAATGGGTGTTTGTGTACACTTTTGCACGTGCCCATTGCTTCCATTTCCAGGGCTTCCCCTTTTCCTGACATGTCTCATTCTCCAGATGGAGTGAATGGTACTTCCCTGACCTCCCATTTTCCTTCAGCAACACAGTTGTCCCATTGTCCTCAATAATAAAATGATAAAAATATAAAAGTATTTATGATGTTTAAAATCAACAGTGACTTGCGGAAACATTACAATCAATATGGAAAAACAGTAAAATTATACAGAACTATAATTTTATATATTCTTAAGGGATTAGAACAGTTTTTCAAAATTACCACATTATATCTCATCTCTTACAATAAATAGCATCCATGCAATCAACTTCTCTCCCAGCAAACTTTGAAAGACTAGATTCTTTGTTGAGGTCAGATGATGTTAAAATTAGAACATGTGTAAGGTTAGAGCTTTTTTCCTCTCAGCAGTTTGAGTTGTGATAGAATTTGACCTGTAAACTTCGTTCACAGATTTATGAAGTTGTCTGGAAGTAGATGAGATTAAGATGTAGAAATGGGTAATACGGAAAAGTTGACAAATCAGTTTTATTCTCTCTGTAATAAATGTCCATTTTCACTGTCTGCTTAAACGCCACACTTAATTTCTCTTTTCCCCTCTCTTCAGCAATTTCCTGATCAAATTGTAGGATTTATTCCTAGAAAGCATGTCTCTACTTCATCAGGTATTTATAGTTACGGAAGTTTTGAACTGCAAACACCAGGGTTTGGAAATGGTGACCAGTACTCTATGGTGCTGATTGGAGCCTCATTCTTCAGCAGCAAGTATCTGGAACTCTTTCAGAGACAGCCTTCAGCCATCCATGCTTTAATAGATGAAACCCAAAACTGTGATGACATTGCCATGAATTTTATCATTGCCAAGCACATTGGGAAGACATCAGGGGTATTTGTGAAACCTGTAAACATGGTCAATTTGGAAAAAGAAACCAACAGTGGCTATTCCGGAATGTGGCATCGAGCTGAGCACTTTCTGCAGCGGTCTTATTGTATAAATAAGCTTGTTAAAATCTACGACAGCATGCCATTAAAATACTCCAACATTATGATTTCCCAATTTGGTTTTCCATATGCCAACCACAAAAGTAAACTATGAAAGCCAAAAAAAAAAAAAAAAAAAATCCTGAAAGCTACTTGGTGTTTGAATGGCTCCTCCATGCTATCAGTTTTGTTTTTAAGCAACATCGTGAGCTTTTATCTGGTCCAGAAGTTTCTACAATAGAAAAAATATGCAGCAGTTCTAGGGTATGAAAGTCGCATTAACTTCAAGAACAAAGAAGCTGGTTTTAATCTACGCAGGACTTCAACATGTTTTCATCCAAGGTTAACTGCTTGGTCAGAAATTTTACGATTTACAACCTGAGACTGTTCAACAATTTATTTGATTACTGGCATTTGCCTTAAGGACCTAGAGCAAGCTGTTTCCAGGATCAGAAACTCCAGAGAGGCATTTCTTAGTTTTTTCACTAAAAGTGATTGTTTTAATTTCAAGCCTGAAATGCCTCTAGGAAAAGCTTGCAGTGCAGGGAAAAGCCATGTGAGGGGAGACAAATCTCCATCCCATGTGAAAACAAGGAAAATCCATAGCTACAGTGTTTTCCTTGTGGCCTTTCCAACCAGATTTACTGCCCAACGTGGTTTAGATGCAACCATTGGTACTTTTATTTTTGTAGACAAGTCTATTTTGACTGGGAGGGTAAATTTTAGGATACAAAATGACATCTAATTGTTTGCTTGAGTTTTGTGACCATTTACTGCATGGATCACCAAAACTTCGCAGCATTTGGTTTTTATGTGCAACTTACATGCAGCAAGGAGTAAATGTTTAACTGTCTTTTGTCACTGAATCTGACCTTTAGAATATATGTTTATTTTTATATTTTACATAAAGTATGTGTTTCAGAAACATATAAAATAACTTCTGAAAGAATAGGAAGTAGCAGAAGTTAAACCCTTCATATTTAAGCATCTTTATTCTTAAAGTGTAGTTTATCTCATGGATATACTAAACAGCTGTGTGTATTACACACAAATGCTTGCCTTCAGAACTTTTTTTTCCAATAGATCTAAGACACTATGCATCATGATGAAACTTCAGTTACATAGATACAGGAAAAAATGACCGAGCCAGCTGAATTCCTTAGAGGATCCTTATCAGTTAATTGTTAAGGTTACCCACTCTCTGTCACATGAATTAGTATCTGTCCCACCCAGTGTCTATGTAGTGTCTATGTTTAGTCCTTACCCGCCACTGTGGCAAGGAATGCCTAATTTTTTTGGCGCGTGGGAGCGTACCAGGGATCAAACTCAGGCCCTTGTACTTGCTAGGCAGTTGGAACCACTGAGCCAAATCCCTGGCCCAAGGAATGCCTAATTAAACCTCTTACCACTTTTTCTTCACGTCACTCTTCCTTCTCATTGAAGTTACTGTCCTCATCTGTTTTCATTATGCCTATACAGCCTCAAAATTGCAAAGCTGCGAGAATAAGAAATTCACCATGGTTTATGTTCTAATTACGAGGTCATTGTGTCATTCAGTGTATTTTGCTTTTTTTATAATGGAGTGTGTTTTAATATAGACATATAAAGAAAAAACTTGAAACATCACAAAGTAGATAATGTAAAGAATCTGCTCTCTCCAACCTTGGTAGTATTTTTTTGTCCCCTTGTTATTTCATCTGATAAATAAAAAACTTTAACCATCTATGTGTTCCATATTGATTAAGCCGACTCTTGTTTTTTGTGGCATATGTTTTTACAAATTTCTGTATGCTCTTTAGATTGCTGAAAATCGAGTAAAAAAAAAAATTAGCTGCTTTCTCCATGAGAAATTTTCCTATTGGGAAAATATTCCCAGATTTCCTTTTCCCTATTGCATTTAAACTTGCCCTCAGCATGACATAAATTAATTAATAAAATCCTCTTTCTGCAAACATTTCTTATTCTTGCCATATGGGATCCAAAAAAGATATGTTCAGACTTAAAAATGCCTATGAGAACCAGTGGAGCTTAGCAGTTAAATGCATGCAGACTTTTCCGTTACAACGTTTTGGACTCAGAACCTTGCTAGACATTTCATTGACCACTCTGAGCCTCAATTTCCTCATCTATGTAACAATAGTTTCCTACCTTGGTTTTTTTTTTGTTTGTTTTTGAGGGTTTTTTTGTTTTTTTCTTCTTCTTTAAGGAATAAAAGCGACAGCTTTCCTGGAGGAAAGGTCTAATTTCGCTTATGGTTTCAGTAGGCTCCGTGCTTGGTAGGCTACAAGGCAGAGACATCATGGCAGAAGGATGTGGAAGAGCAAAGTTTATTAATTTATCTTTATGGCACCTGGGAAGCAAAGCAAGGGAACAGTGCTAGAAAAAGGAACTATATGAGTAGCCAAGACCAGGCCTGCATGGCACACCGGATACACCCAGTGCGCTTTACTAGTCTGCTAGGCATTTCCTAATGTATTGACGTTGACATATCAGGATTAATTGTCACAGCTTGCACAAAACGGAGCACAATGCTTTGAAAGCTGTCGGGTATTAATCAGGTATTGATCATAAAGTGTGACAATCCCACAGCTCATCACTCACACATAGAAAAGCCTCCTTACACCAGGTGAGATACACAGGAAAGTGTTTGTCATAACAATGGGCAAGGAACTGCCATGAGTCCTCCTTTGTATCCTTTAGCTGTATTCTTATCATTATGGCAGTACATATTCATTCTGGCAGTTTAGCATATTGAGGAACAAATAGCCCACCTCCCAATTAATTCCTGCAGACTTTTCTAAGCATAATGTTTATTTGCATTATATCACCATGATTTATTTGGTATTTCATTGAATAAGCCATGATTTATGTAATCTTATTTCTGTTTGAGAACTATTCTTGCCTTGAATTTACATTTTTGAATACATCTATAATTATTTCTTTGAAATCAAGTCCAATAAAGTAATGCTCATGTTTTTAGGGATTTTGATACATAAATGCCTCCAGAAGTGTTGCCATGGCAACACTATTAATATCACATCTGAGAGCACCTGCTTCCCATCAGTCTTCCATCACATTTAAATTTTCTTTTATTTATTCCATATGCGAAATATTTGAATGCTGCAAGATTTGAAAGGCTTCTCATTCATGGAACTCTTTGAGAAGGCTGGAAAGGCAAGCAACTGTCAAAAGATTCAAGGGCAGTGTAAGGTTCTACTGAAGTGCTTTTGAAGCTTTAGAAGTGGTTCTCCCAGATACAATTATACGCAAGGAATTGCTGACCTTTTCTTATTCCTAGCAATAAACTGTTTGGAAGCACCCCAAAATTCTCCATTTTTTTCCCTCAGGAAGACCTAAGGGAGGGAGGGCATGAGGGTACTGCCGTGAATGGAAGAGGAATCTAAAGGGCCTGAGTCTCAAAGGATGCTACAGTGTCTTGAATGGTAAGGTTACATCGTTGTCTAGCCAGATGTGGTGGCACAGGCCTGTAATCCCAGCACTCGGAAGCTGAGGCAGGATGAGTTTGAGACCAGCCTGAGTTACGTAATGAGTTCAAGGCCAGCCTGGAATACACAGCAAGATCCTGTCTCAAACATCTACTCACTGTTTCCCCTTCTCCCTCCTCTGTCCTTTGTCCCTTACTTCCCTTCCTCCCTTTCTCTGTTTATGAAGCCCCTCTAAATATAAAAACAAAATATTTTCAAATATATACTTACTAGGGATGAAAACAACATTTGATATACCACAAACGTAATGAATCTTGGCTGCACTTAATTTACGTATATGCAGAATGAGAATGAAAATACATGCCCTAACACATTACAGGTTCATTTTGTTTTCTATGATTAGAATGTACAGGAAACTTTTTTTGTTTTTGTTTTTTTTGAGACAGGATCTCACTATGTAGTGGAGACTGACCTGGAACTCACTAGGTAGCCCAGGCTGGTCTCGAACTCAGCGATCCTCCTGCCTCAGCCTCTGGAGTGCTGGGATTACAGGCATGCGCCACCACACCTGGCTTTTTCAGGAAACTCTTTATGACATAAGGAAAGTAAAGCAATTTTTAAAAAGCCATCAGGTAAAGCAGCCTAGCCACGGGTTAAAAACAAAAACTTGGTTGTACAGTATGGCTGTCTCAAAATTAATACAGGAGCTTGAGAAGTGAGAATAAATATAGCAGATATTGGAAAAAAAAAAGAATCCACTGTAGCTGTAGCTGATGTATTTAATCTGGAGATGAAAAAGAAAAGGAAATTCCTCGCTGAAACATTTTTAAGTTGTCTTAAGAAAGAAAATATTCTGAAGAAAGCAGCTTTACTTTATACTGGTAGTTCTCAACCTGGGTTAATCCCTCACCCACACTCCAGAACATCAGGCAATGTTTGCAAGCATTTTTGTTACAGCAGAGGGCCTGCTACCAGCATGTAGTGAGCAGAGCCCAGAGATGCTGCTAAACATACAACACAGACAGACCACCAGAAAATGTCTGCAATATCAAGGTTGAGAAAAAAACATGCTTGGCACTATGTTGTAGAATACTTGGTTATTAATGTGTCGACATGGCATGATTTCTCACAATGCAACATGTATTTCTAGAGATCTACCTGTATATCAATGCCTACAGGAACAAGATTAAGGAGGAAATTGTGCTTATAAAATCTGGTACGTGATTCTGTGACCCCCAATTCTGGTAAAAAAAAAAGTCAGAAATATCTCCAGTTGAGGTTTATTTCTAACTCCTTTTTCTCTGACCCACGTACCTCATTCTGTTTTCAAAACTGAAGAAATAAACAATGTGGCTTGATTTTCTGAAAAAATATGTATTTCTGAAGAATCTGTATGTAGTATTATATAATACACTGTGTATTTTACTAGCATGTCACTAGAGAAAGGTGGTATACTCATGTTGAAATAAGCTAAATATAAATTCTTAAGCATACTTAAGTGTGTATGTATATTTTTAGTTTAAACAATAAGCAAGCAATATGCAGCCAGTAAAGCTAATTTATATAGAAAATTCTGGAATGAGAGACTCAAAACTCCAGTATGAGTTAGTGAGAAAATTTATTTACATTTATCTACACCTCAATTTCCACGGCTACAAAAAGGGCAAACTAAATGATGAATGCATTTCTTCCCAATTATAAAATTCTATAACCCTAAAGTAGAGTGTTGAATTAGTAGGTTTTAAAATAGCCAGGTTATACTTTCAAGAAAACACTGCCCTTAAAGATAGTTCTGTTAGAGCTTGCTGCTTTTGCTACAGCCTCATTATTTCCTCAGAACTTTCTCAAAGTAAGTTCTATCTATACACCCTACAACAAGTATTTATATTTTTTAAGGTCTTGAAGGATTGAAAGTAATTACAATTTAGAAGATACTTTACTTAATCAAATTCCTGTTTCCAGGATGCCCCTGGCCAACAAATAGAGTTGCCAAAGCGTAACAAACCCTGGGATCAAATTGAATCAAAAGTTATCATTCATGGTAACTAATTTGGTAAACTCATAATGGAACTACAAATTTTAGACAATCATTCCATTTAAATTTACAAAACACTATTTTTATGGAATTTACTTTCTTACCAGCAGATGTCAGTGCAACCTAATTAACTAACATTTTAACAGTTTATGTGCCTGCCAGTGAAGCAAGTAAAAATAGTCTTAAAAGAGAAAAGTAAAAAAATCTCCTATCACTGATTAAGAATATCTCTTTAAATGGAGCTGGAGAAAAATATCAATCATAAATTATTAAGTTAAAATGAATCTGTCACAAATAAATCATACTACATAAGATATAAGTCTATTATCCTCATAATTTATGTGACAATAGCATTTCTTGGTGACATATAAGACATGATCATAATTAAATGCAAAATTCTTATGTCTAATAAAGTAGAATAGTATATTATTTTTGAAACTCACATAGCATAGATACTACAAGCAGGAGGAACTCGTTTACATCTGTGTGGCATATATAACCTCTGGAGAACACATGAGTTCCTAACAGTTCTTAACTGAACATCAATGGTATGATATCATTTGTTTTTTGGAATGTAGAACTTAGTTTTTAGCAAACATTTGAATTGACAATATCAGTGGCTCGTATTATGTGCTGAACGCTTTTTATATTATCCCTTACAATCTTTGATACAGCCCTGCATTTTAGATAATGGTATTATCCACATCTTGAGAATGAAGTAATTAATGTTCATAGAGATAATGTGTTTATCAAATAGAGGTTACACAGCAAGCTAAATGATGGGCTGCTGATTCCAAGTCCAGGCTCTTTCCTCCATGCAAATTTCCGTTCCTTTTGAAATGCTCCTTCATGACTATATTAAGGAGACCATGTTGAAGAGTGATCTTGCTTATTTGCCACACCTAGAATTAAAACTACATTTTATACATACTATTTCTACAATAATGATGAAACATAACTGGTACACGAAAGTAAGGACAAAAGAAAGAAATATGTGTAAAATTATTTTTTAACAGCAAAACTAGCTTCTTAACAGTTAAGCATGCATTTACCATAAAATAGCAATTCTGTGCTTAGATGTCTACCCAAGAGATGTGAAAATATATACTTATGCAAAGATGTGTACACAGTGTTTATGAAAACTTTTTTGGGGGGTGTACCAGAGATCGAACTCAAGACCTTGCCCTTGCCAAGTAGGCTCTGCACCACTGAGCTAAATCCCCAGCCAACTCAAAAGTTTAT